CTTCCAAAAAACCTTGCCAAGAAAACTGCAGGGACTTGTCCAGGCAGTTGTCAGGAGTCATTCTGAAACTGACTCAAAGACACCCCCCAAAAAGAGAGAAAGACATTTTGAATTTAAGCTGAGTAAAACTGGCTAGCTGTGTCAGTTCAGTGAGTACAGTGAAATACAATTTCACCTCACAACAATTATTTCTCTAATTGAGACCTTGCATTAGAGAAGGGGACAGATTTTAAAAATCAAATCCACTTGCCTGACTTACTTCACAAGGTTGTTGTGAAGCTTGCATAAGGATAACCCATGTGCACCAACTGATCTCCTTGGAGGAACATCAGCAAAATCATTGATTTCTATTTCAGAATCTCTGGCAGAGATGGCTAATTGCTTTTCTTGACCCATTTTTCTTTTACCTTTCTATCTTTCTATGCTGGTGATAACAAAAAAGAAAAGTGATCTTAAAGTGTATGATTTTAAGATAAATAGCATTCATGATAACATAAAAAAAAAATATTCAGAGGCTGCATGAAATACAGAGAATTTCTCACCACCTGAAACTTAATTAGATATGCAGCTACACAGTTGCACTGACATAAGATTCAGCCTGGTTACTGAATTAAATCCATTTTGTGGATTTGCACAGCACATCTAGCCATAAACTAACTAAATGGGTTAGATTCATAGAACATGCTATGCCACAAAAAATAAAAACCTAACCAGGGTTAACATCAAGCTTAGCATGTTGTAGAAATGCATTTGCTGGAACTTCACTTGAACTATTTAAACTTCTGGTGGGAATACAGCCAGTATTTTACTGCAATGCCCTTGACTCCTGAAACAAATCCTCCCACCTTGGTGTTAACCCCTCCCTCATCCCTAAATATAGAATAATATGTGATCATGATTTTTCTTTGTATAATTTTTAAAGTAGCATGAAATCAAAACTGGAAGATGCTTTTTAAAGGGAGCGGCAGTAGAGAAACTGTCTAATCTTTTATTTAAATGTAACTAAAATGTTGTTTGCAATTTCTTTCCTACCATTCTCTTGTAAAAATCCTTTAAAAAGATATCTAAAGAGCTATTTCAGGATCATTTCTTTTAACCCAGTTTTGGATGTTTTGCAATGTTGACTCCCTGCCCCCTCCTGCCCGCCCCCCGAAATTACTTTGCTCTACTGAAAACTTGAAAACTTCTCTTAGATTTAAAAGCAAGCATTCCATTGTTTTTTTAAGGAAAACAAATCTAAAAATCCTTCCTCCTCAGGCATATTAATCTAGTTTCATAAATAATTTTGATTAAGGTCTTTTACTAATTAATTGAAAAAATGTAGGAGAATGAGTGATTTCGGTTGAAAGCTGAAAGCACTGTTACTTGAAGAACTTAATACATTGATACAATCAATGAACTTTTCTTCACTGAAGTGACTTTTCTACTCGGGATCAGTAGCAGTGTGGGTCTAGAGTAAGTGTGAAACTGTTAACTCAAAGAAAAATCCACTAGGGCCTTGTTTTGCCCACGGTCCACAGAATTGAGAGTTAAAACTCATATTCATTTCATTGGGAGCCATTCAGAATATATTCTATTGGAGGAAGTATAATAGTGATAGGGAATCAACTTTTATTTAAACAAACAGTTTCTCCTTCAGATTCTAACATCCAGTAGCCAAACTATATTATTTTTTGTGACTGTTTCTAAAGAATAACCATGATAAGTTCTTTGTTTCAGGACCATGAAGGGTGTTGCCTTCATCTTTTCTTCCTGCACAAATAATCCTCATAGCGAAACTCATATTTGCTGCACAGTGCAAGGTTCTGTTGGCATCAACCACAGGTTTCTTTCTGTGGTGAAATGCCATTTTTTGGGAGATGGGGCAATTGTTATTGGGTCTGTAATACAGCAACGAAGTATTCTCTGCTAAACATTGAAGCCCTGTGGAAATGTAACCAAGAAAGCAAGAAAAATGTAATCAGTGGTGTTTTATGCTCAAGCTGCAAAGTAGAATAGTTTATCTGACATCTTCACAGCTATTCCAGGTTAATCAACCAGAACACTCAGAAGGTTGGTTCACGAACTTGCACATATATGGAATACTTGATTCCTATATACTTGATGACGGGCAGCTAAAAATGTGAAGTAAATTAGAAATAAGAGATTTACCTTTGATGCTAGAAGTGCAGTGGTCACACATCCACAAAGTCATTGTTTAATTCAGTAGTTAACAAAGAATGTGCATGTTTTTTCTCTGGGAATCAGTTAATATATATAGCTAGCAATGTCTATAAAACTTTGATGCAGTCTGGTATAGTTACATCAAGTCTCGGGGGGAGTTATAACCTTCACTCTGGCATATCTACTAGTTGCAAAATGCAGACTTAACTCAGATGCTGCAGTAAGGAAAAATTCAGTTCAATATTGAATTCAGATTCAATGTTACAAAGCAGGTAGTAAGAATTTGCCGTTGGCTATGCATCACCATTCTCTCATGCAAAAACAAACAAACAAATAAACAAACAAAGCAAGGCACAGATTTGCACCAAATTTCTACTGAACTAAAGTATTATAAAACTCTAATGCTAGGCAATAAAAAGATCTGCAGAGCAACTCAGACTTAGGTAATATAGTAGTAAAAGAAAGCCCCTTGTCATCATTCTCGTTTTACCCTAGCTCTTACTGTGATCCCACATTTTTGCCATTTTATAATATTTTTGTTACCCCCCTCACTTTTTCTTCTATAAATGGCATGTTTTTTTCTAGGCAGCTGCATTCATCTTTGGTAATAACAATTAGCACCAACATTTCTAAGGACTGATCTGCCTAGCTTTGAAATGCTTCCGCAATAGAATGATGCTCATGATACGACGAAGTTAGGTTTCTCTTCCTTCCCTACATTTGTCTGTCTCTGCAAATCAACATCTCATCTTGGGGAAGGATGAAAGAGTCTTTGCTTACCATGATGGCCTCCGCTTGTTTAGAGTCCAGCTCAGATACTGCCCGCCGGAAGCCTTTGGCTGAAGAACTGGAAGTGTTTGGAGTTGGCATCCTTGCTGATGAACTGGCTTAGCTTCCAGCACTGCTTTCCCTTCTTATTCTGGGTTTTAATAGGGCAGGCCTGACGTCAAAGACCCTCTCTGATCCCCCTCTATCCACCTCCCTCCCTTCAGCCTCAGGGAGAGAAAAGAGGAGGAGGGAAGAGATGCGGAGGAAAAAAGCACTTGTGTCCCATTAAATGTAATTGCCACAAAGATGACAGGCACCAGCTCCTGCAAACTCACACTTGGCTCCCTGGCACCCCAAAGTATTTGCTCAGCTCAGTTATTTACCCTGGGTTTTTACTACCGCTTCCTCTAGCCGTATGCACACTGAGTATTCCCAATGAATTGCCTGTTTGTAAATGTGGCTGTATTATCCCTGCCAAACAATAAGTAATGAGGAGAAAATAAATAAGAGCAACATTTTGCTGGTTGCATGAGTCAGGTCATGCGGTTAAAGAAAGGGGATATAAAGAGGATTTGGGACTTGTGTCTGAAGTCATTATTAAGAGTTTGGTGGAGAACTTGGGGGAATTTTTGTCAGGTCAGAAGAGTGAGACATTTGTCCAAAACATATGGAGTAGACAGTTTCTGATCTTCCAGAGTTAGGTAGGAAACAGAGAAGGGCAACTGCTAGAGAGCTCACAAAAGGCAAACTTTCAAGCCTTTGGGAATACACACTTGGGGCTTACCTACATTCAGTCTATCCACAAACACTGAAATAGTGGCTTTATTCTGTGACTGTTCTCCTGCTGTACCACCCACATAATACTCAAGCATCATCTAAATAGAGAGACTGAGGCTCTATCAGAATATAGAGGCTTGACTTAAATTTCAAGGTTGACAAGCATTAATAAAGCAACTCTCCATGTTAAAAATTACAGTAGGGTTGACTGGAAGCTGTATTTACTTTCTTTTATAGAAACTGAATTCTTCTAGATCCCAGAAAGCCTACCTGTTTTTAATATTTAAATTCATTGCCTGATCATCCATATCAAAGCAGGCTTAAAATTCTCCAGATTAAATTAATAAAACATTCACCCCCTGCTTAGTCTGCTAATTATTATTATCAAGTATTCAGATATTTCCATGAGACTGGAAGCCCAGAAATTTTTGATGGTTCTGAGAATGTAGCCCAGTGCAAAATGATCAAGAGTAGGAGAGCAACTCCCAACAACTATTATGAGCGTGGTCAACAACCATGAATGCTGAGTCTTCCCACTCCCTGAAATAAACTGGATACTTTTTAAAAGCTTGATGGGGAGGAGCGGCCTTCTTTCCTTCCTTTCCAACCCCTCTCCTCCACATACACACACGCATACACACGCACACACACATATACCCCTTGCTTGTTTGTTGAATCAATGACCTTATCCACTGGCAATTATTCTAAAGAAACCAAACAGAATAGATAGATAGATAGATAGATAGATAGATAGATAGATAGATAGATAGATAGATAG